GGGGGGCTGGGTGCAGGCCAGGCCAGCCTCTGAGGTTTTTCTCCAGGAGAGCAGCTGACTCCAAAGCAGGAGAAGGCAATCACAATGGTGATGACAATGATGACTGCAGAAGCGAGTGCTTAGGCAGAGTCGCCAAGCACCGGGTGGTGTTCTCTATGTATTAACTCATATAATCCACACTGCAGCTGTGAGGTAGGTGCTGTTATCATCCCCAGTTTACTGAGGAGAGCACAGGAAAGTAGCTTATCTGAGTCCCAGAACTAGTAAGTGGCAGAATGAGGATTTGAATCTTGGCTATCTGGCACCTGAATTATGCTCAGCGCACCTAATAAACACTTGGCCAAATGTTCTCTCTTATAATTAGTTGGGAATTTTGATTTGGAGGGGCTCTGGGTCTAGGAGGTGGGCTAGGGGAGATTGGGGGCCTGAGAGAAAGAGCTATGCTCTAGTTTTATACCCTCTGCCACCTTGATAAAAATCACTTTCTCTTTTCAAGTGTCAGCTTCTTCCCCTGTAAGAGGTGGACACTCACCTCCTCCCAATTTCCTGCCCTTCTAGAAGTGCTGGGAAATAGAAACCAGAAGGAAGGAAGAGCATCAAGAAGTTGGGAGAAGAGGCAGCCAAGCATCACGCAGGCTTGGAGACAAGGGACCAGAGGTTGCTGAGTTCTGTGCTGCTGCCCCAGACACACAGGTATGCACACACACACACACACACACACACACACATTCACATACTCATGGCATGCACATTCACACATGCACACACATTTACTCATGCACTCACACATACACATGCTTTTCTTGCACACATGAATATATACACTCAAGCACTTGCACATGTGTGCTCCCACATTCACATGTGGCATTTCCACTCTCCCACATAGGTGCACACTTACACTCACACCAATGTACACACGCTTATTCTCATTCTCTCAGTTGGTCCAGGGCTGAGCCAGGCCACCTAGCAAGAGCAGGGAGCACTGGGCTGCCTGCTTCAATGGAAGAAGGCTCCCCAGCAGTTCTCAGAGCAGCAGGGCACCTCTGACCCCACCCAGTATGGGGCTCCAGCTCCTAAGCCAGGAGAAGTGGACAAGGTTTGCAGGGAGCCATGGGAAGGATCACTTAGGTCTCTGGAACAGGGGTAGCTGTCACTCCAGCCACACTGTTCTCAACTTCCAGCCACACTCTCCTCAGGGCACGTCTCAGGACTAAGTAGGGCCAGCTCCTGCAGTGCTGAAGAGCCCAAGTGCTCTCACCTGGAGCTGGTCTGACCATTGCCTCCCATGGACCTAGGTCTCAGTTGCAGGAGGCACAGCTCACAGCCCCTGCCCACCCAAGGGGGCAGTGCAGCCTCTCTCCTACAGTTGCCTGTGCTGTGTGTGGAGCACAGTGGGACCTGGAGTCTGCTGGGCACCCTCCTCCTGCTCAGAGGCCTTGGATCTGCACACTGACAGTAGGACCCTGGGCCTGGCTTTCTGCAGGGCTCAGTGGGCAGTCGGCCAGGCCTTAGGCCTTATCCTGAGCCACCTGCAGCAGCTTGGTCTGCCCTGCGTCTTTCTCTTTCCCCTGACTCATATCCAGGGCTGTGATTTGGGAGCATTGGCTGAGCAGAACCATTACCGAGGGTTGCTCTTTCTTTCGATGGAGGTAGCTGGTAGTACCAGGCACCCGGGCACTGTCCCTATAAGCTGCCAGGCCCTCAGCTGCCCCACAACCCTGGGATTCTGTCATGCTGGACAGCATGAGAGCTCCTTGTCCCTACTTCTTCTTGTCCCAGGAATCAGAACCTTCTAGAGAACCTGGAGGCCTCCTGGGTTTCCTCTATCCTTCAGAGAGTCTATGACCAGTGGTAGATGGGGAAGACGATGAAAATCTAGACAAGTGGGCAGATGACTGGTAGTGTGAGTATGAGAGTGTGTGTGAGAGAGCGAGAGCATGAGTGTGCACAAGAATGTGTGAGAGTGTAGGTGTAAATATGTGTGTGCAAGCATGGGTATGGGCATGGATGAATAGTGTATGAGTGCCTCGGTGTGAGTATAAGCATGAGAGTAATGTATGTGGTGTGTGGGTGTATGAGTGTACACATGTGTGAGTGTGTGAATGCAGGCAGGTGTCAGTGTATGAGTTTGCATGCCTGAATGAGCATGCAACCTTATTCCATTTAGGCTGCTGCTGCTGCTGTTAGTTTTCCAGGTGGGGCTCATCTCCCTCCACTCCATTCAGAAAGAGGAAGTTAGTTTTGGGGACCAGGAATTGGAGTTCACAAAGGTTTGGGATGCACTCTTTGAGGTTGATGGGGGTTTTACCTCTGACTCTCCTCACTTAACTGCTCTCAGAATTAAGCTTATGTGTCATGTTCCCACAAAAATCTTTCCTACCCAACCCATTGTCTGGTTGCCAGGGCTTCCTTGAACTCCCCTGCAGTGCCTGCTCTGTGTGCCTGCGCTCAGACTGAACATGGTGTCTGAGTCTGCCTTCTCAGCTTGACTCAGATTCTCTAAGATAGGGACATTCCAGACTTGTCTCTGTAGGCCCAGTGCCCTATAGGGCTCTCACCTACGAGGTGCTCAGGGGCACGTAGGTGTGTTAGTGAGGCCACTTGGTGCAGGGCAGGAGAGAAGGAGTCTGGAGTTAAGAAACCCAGTGGGGAGGCTGTTGCCATGATCCAGGTAAAAGAAGATGAAGAGGAGGTGAGGAGGTGTGAGAAGGAAAAAGAGAGCTGAGAGCCTCCACTCTGGGAGGAGAGGGAGGAAGGTCAACTTACTGGCCACCAGCTCATAGACCTCCCCGCCAGGAAGTAGCCACCAATGGTCCCTCGGCTTGCACGGATGGATGACTGGGAAGAAAATGACAGGAGATGATGGCTTTCCAAGTCTCTCTCCAACCTCTGCCCTGCCTCCCCAAGCCCCCAGGCTCCCTGCTCTTTGGTGCAGGCCCTACAGGGACACAGAGGGTGACACTGAGGGGATAGAGCTGCCTGGGGACTGATGGCTTCACCCTCTTTAACCCAAGTCTCTTCCACTCTGTGCACGTGGCCACTCACCTCTAGGGTTGTTGTGAAGAGAGACAGTAAAGGGTGTCAGATGGCAGTGATGTGCCAGTGTCCAAGCTTATGTCCCTGGCCCTCTTGTCCCTTCCTCTTCCCTCCTCCCGAAGCTCGCCTTTGGGGGATGATTTGTTTTTTAGCTCTCAGATGGACGGTGACATCCCTGTCTCTGGGCTGACCTGATCCCTCCTCCCAGCTGCAGGCAGGAGGACAAAGGGGCTGCTGCTCTGACCGTGAGACTCTGGGATCTGGGAAGAGTGAGGGGCTCTGTTTTTGGGCTTCTTCTGGCCTGGCCTGAGGTCAGCCCATACCTTGGAACCCCACCTTGGCCCCTGCCAGTGGATGGTCCCCTAGTGGCTTGAGTTTTCCTGGGGCCCCAGGAGTGTGGGCAGGGTGATGGGAAGGAAGGGCAAGCTCAAAGCAGCTATTCAGATACTGAAGTCAAGAGGCCTCTGAGTGGGTCTGGAAATAGGAGAAATACTTGAAAGGGAAGAAGGAAAAAGGAGAAATGTAAAAGATTAAAATGAATTGATCACTAGGGAGTGATAAGTGTGTGTGAGGCCTAGTGCTTGTTACACTTTGGCTTGAACTTTACATACTTCCTCTGACCTTCTTGGAAGTCACATAAGCAGAGATAAACTCATTTTACAGAGGAGGAAACTGGCTCAGGAAGGGCTCAACTTGTCCAAAACCATAGAGGAGCTGGTGCTTTCCGCACTGGCCACCTCCAGGAGCCAGTGACCATCAGTTTGCACAGTTCTTCCTCACACCAGGTCTGGCAGCAGGGACTAGTCACCCTACTTTGCAGATGAGGAAGGTGAGGCCCTGAGAGAGCCTAGGAATTGAGCAGCTGGGACTCAAATTACAGTACGCTTCAGCAGAGTGTCAAGGTGCCGGCATTGCAGATTGCTGCGGTGACCATAGTGGTCACTAATTGCCTGACAGCTGTGTGCCAGATGCTGCGATGTGTCCTGTCACTGAGTGATCACAATTCCACAGTGTGGTCCTTATCAGTGTCTACATGAAAAAATTGAGGCTCGGAGAGGCTCCATACTATCCAGCTCTGGGTGTTGGGGCTGGGATCTGACTCAGGTCCCTCTGACATCAAAGCCGAGCCTTACTCCTGGCACCCAAGTCCTGAGAACAATGGTGAGTGGAGGGACCTTGGTATCTTTCTTGCTCCCTCCATGGGAGCATATGGGCCTGAGCGTCTTTAAAAATCACTGGTTCTTGGTCAAGACACTCTAGTGCAGATTAGGGAGCAGCAAGGTGCCAAGCATTTGCAAAGTTGGGGGTCATGGGATGGAGAAGAGGGCAGGAATGAGACTCCTGTGTCTAGAGATGGTTAGGGCTAAAGGTGGCTGATGCATAGAGACAGGGATTCAGGAGCTGGGGCTCCAGGCCTGGCCTGCCTCTGTGACTTCAGGCCAGCCACACCCCTCTCTGGGACTCTGCCTGCCCTTCTATAGAAGGAGGAGTTTGGGGAGAATGATTCCTGGAGGTCCTTCCATCTCAGCCCACTGTGGTTCTGTGATCTGCTTCTCTCTGCCAACCCTGCCCCAGCTCTATGACCCAGCCCAGGATGAAGGGCTGCCTCTGCCTCCCCTGCCAGGCCCTGGCCTCAGGGCCTACTCACCCAGATCCCTACAGCGATAACGAAGACGAAGTAGGTGACCACCACCCCAATGTCATAGGCGTGTAAGCTGACTCCAGAGCCCAGTGCTGAGCGCCAAGCCGTTTCAGTCCTGACTCCGTCCTCCGAAGTGCCAGGCTCCATTGCTGCCAGCTCCCGCTCATCTGCCAGTGTGGGTCACCACCAGGCTGGACTTTGAGGCACTCCTGGAGTCGTTCCTGTCCCTTAATGATTAAACAGCCCCAAGCACCATTAGCTGTTGAGAAAGCGCTGAGCTCCGAGGGCATGTAAAGCCCTGCCCACCTTCCTCTTAATGCCACTCCCAGCTCCTGCAGGACTCTCCCCTCCCTTTCCCTGATACCACCCCTGACACACGAGCATACACATACACACAGAGGCACATACACATGTATGCATGCACACACACTCACACACTCACTCATACCCGGTCCCACTCCATGCCCAGAAGAGCAGGAGAAGGAGGAAAAGAGCAGAGCTTGGAACCTTGAGCTCGGAGAGACTTCAGAAATCAAACCACTGTAGCTCCTGCTGGTGTGGAGGGGGAAGCAAGGTCCAGAGAAGTAAAGCAGAGCTGGGACTGGAGTTCAAGTTTCTCAAGTCAGTTCAGTGCAATCTTCTTCACCCAGTGGGCGGGAGACAAGGGAAGAGTGTGCTGTTCTTCTTGCAGAGCCGCTGCCACCTCAGGCACTTACTCCACCCCACTGAGGTGTCATGGCCTCTTATTTTACAGTGACAAACTGAGGCCTGGGGAGAGACACTGGTCAGAGCAGGCTATTGCGACAAGGCAGGGCCAGAATTCTCATCTGATGTCTGGTTTACATTCCCCTTTTGTGCTGTGACATTTGAGATGGTTGTGGTTAGGAGGTCTTCCTAGAAAAGTATGTAGAATTCTCTGGGCCAGGGAAGACCATCAGCTGGGACTCAGGTAGCCTGGCTGCTAATCCCAGTTGTACCTCTTGCTGAATTGCAGGTGACTTGGGGCAGGTTGATAAATGTCTCTGAGTCCGGGTGTTCTCATCAGCATGACATGTGCTCTGTCTACCTCAGGGCACTCTCAGGTGCCTGAGACCCTCTGCAAACCTACAGTCACTGCATGCTCTTGGGATTAACACCAACACCCACCACTATCTAGTCAAGGGGCCCAGTCACCAGGCACACAAACATTGGCCAGAGCCTGGGCCAGAGCAGCATGTAAAGGCCTACAGCTCTGCTCTCCCTGCCCCTAGCATCCTGTGAGAAACCGAGGGCTGTGTGTGGGAGCCAGACTCCATTCCCTCCCCCTTTTGAGGAAAGGAAAATGAGAGGCAGGGATCTGGGCCTTATTTCCCCAACTACCCTAACTTAAAACTTCAGGCACAGGCCATACTGAGCCCCCGAGAAGGGCAAGGCAGTCCCCAGATGGAGCAGAGCTCAGCAGTCTGGCCCCCACTGAGATTAGATGCTAGATGGGGCCAGCAGGTGGCGTGGTGGTAAAGACTCCCACATTGTTTACTGTGGTTTGAGTACCGGACCTGGTGGCTTGCTTTCTCACTTTCTCTCTGTGTCTCTCTCTCTCTCTCTGGTGAGTGCATGTGGCTAAAGCAAATTAAAATAATAATAAATAAAATTAAATAAATAATTCTTTTTTTTTTTCTGGAGAGGTTTTTGCTATAGGGCACATGAGACAGAGACAGAAAGCGAGAATCACCCCCCCCCCATGGGGGGGTGGCCACACCGCAATCCCTTCTCCTCCATTCTCCTCTTGGGATCTCAGGCATACATGCACACACATGTACCCGGCGTGAGTTTAAGCCACTGGGTCCAGGACTCAAACCACAGTCGACTACATGGGAGTCCATTGACATAGCCATTACGCCAACTGCTGGTCCCAATAAATAATTCTAAAAAGCTAGAAAAAAAGATTAGATGCTGGAAGGACAGTAGTAGCTCTAAGTCTTCATAGAGGAAGTGCTTTCCACGCTCATATTTAAAGGTGAATAAAAGTTTATCAGATAAACAAGAAGGGCAAGGGAGGCAGGACCAGCATCAGCAACATCAGGAAAAGGTGAAGGACCATGTGCCTTAAATGATCAGCATGACATGTGGGGTTGAGCTGCACTGGGAGAGCAGTGGGAGATGAGGCAGGCAGATCCTTGGGTGTTAATCAAGGAGAGGAGGAGAAAAGGTCTGAGCTCAGGCCATAAACATCACCACAATGAGGGCTCTGGATCAAATCGCTCTTCCAGGAAAGGGAAGAGGAGTGGACCTGGGAGAAGACAGCTGAGTCCTGTACTTCCTTCTGTGCTCCGCACCAGGAAGGGCCCACCCAGCCCATGGAATTTGCTGTCCTTTGAATGTTACAGTTGCCTCCAAAGTTCATGCTAAAACTTAATCCCCAACCATGCAACAATACCAAGATGTGAAACCTTTAGGAGGTTGTTAGGACATGAGGGCTCTACCCTCACGGATGGAAATAGTGCTCAATAACAGGGCTTGAGGGAACTAGCTAGGCCATTTTGCCTTTCCACTTTCCACCACATGAGGACACAGCAACAAAGTGTCATTTGGAAGCAGCTGCGTCCTCACCAACCACCAAAACTGCAGTCATTTGATTCTGAAATTCTAGCTTCCAAAATTATGAGAAATAATTTTCTGTTATTTATAAATTACTTAGTTTTGGATATTTTGTTTTAGCAGCAGTAACAGACTAAGACAGACACTTGCTTGCCTGTGTGCTCTGTCTCCCCAACCACCTTCTCACAGTTGCTTGAGGCTGAGTCCCAACCCTGCACATTTTATAGAAACCTGCAGTTTTGGGCTTACAGCAGTCATTCTCAAATGTGTCATCTGTTAGCTAATTGGGCAACTTAGCAACACAGAGCCACACAGAGTGCCAGGAAGGTAACAAATAAGGCTTTGAAGCAGCCAGAATAGATATGCTAAAGCCCACGCACAGGCCCAGACCTTTGACTTGTCAGTGATCCCTTCTGACCTCACTCAGGACCTACTTATTTTGGGTCTACCCAGAATCTCGTGGGCCTGTTTACTTTTGGTTTATGCAGAGCTTTGTCTGTGTTCCAGCTCACCACAAATTGTGACAAATTACCAAGAGAAGAGAGGCAGGCAAGAGGCACAGCGAAGAGCATGGTAGTAGATGGGTAGGTGATGTATGAAGTGTCATTAAAACCAGGGAGGGGGCCAGCAGGTGGCATGGTGGTTAAGGATGGATTCCCGCATGGTTGACTGTGGCTCAAGTCCCAAACCTGGTGGCTTGAAAGTCACTCAGGGTGCATTTGTGTGTGTGTGGCCAAGATCTTGAGAGGAGAATGAAGCCAAAGGGATTGTGGCATGGCCATCCCTCTGAGGGGTAATTTCTCACTTTCCCTCTCCTTGTCTCTTTTAGGCAAGCACATGCACCCTATGGCAACAAAAACAAAAATCCCATAGAAAACAAAAAAGATGATCCAAAAGATGGCCAAATAAGGGCAGAAAGATCTCCCAAATAGGATAGGTCAGTTCTCAACCAAAGGCATTCTTGAATAGAAAATCAATAATTCATATACATATCAATGGCCCACACTCACCAAAGAAAGATGACTGTGACCATTATCAGTTTTTTTTTATTTAGAAGGTATGGATTATGAAATATAGGCAGGAAGAGTTTAATTTAAAATGGTTAAACATTTTGGACAAATGTTGGCATTTAAGAATGAAGCTTCAATTATGCCTGCATAATGCTCAGAGAACTTCTGAGATCAGAAGACGTAGTCATGCTTTCATTCTTACACTAAGCTAACACCTATCATGCACCTGGCACTGTGTAAGGCACTGGCACACACACATACACACGCACACGCACACACACGCACACACACACATGCACACACTCAATTGTCCACAACTTGGTGGGGAAGGAGCACAGTCATACAGAACATGCAGCTTCAGCACAAAATTGGTAAACATTCATCCACCCTTTCTTCCTTTTAGCTAAAGAACTGAGAGGAAGGAAAAACAAAATCTGGTTGGGAAGATTGGGAAAGATTTATGGGGGAAGGGAGTAGTCTGAACTACACTGAAAAATATAGAAGTATACCAGGCTGATAAAATAAAGGTTTTCACATCTAATCCAAGACACAATACATGTAAGAACATTGGAGGGAAGTCTCACACTTCCTGATTTCAAAACATTTTCTAAACTATAGTAATCAAAACAGTGTGGTATGGACATAAAGACAGCCATGTGAGCCAATGGAATATATAATTAAATAGAAATCTCAGGCCAGCAAGTGGCATAGTAGTTAAGGTGCTGGACTCCCATATGGCTGATTGTGGTTTGAATCCTGGACCTGGCAGCTTGAAACTCATGTCAGGCACATGTATTCTCCTCTCCTGAGAGGAAAATAAAGGAGAAGGGATTGTGGTATGGCCAACCCCCCTGGGGATGACTTTTCACTTTCTCTCTCTCTGTCAAACACATGTGCTCTATAAAAAAATTCTCTAAAAAAATAGAAATCTCAGAAGTAAAACTGCTCATATACAGTCAAATAATTTTTGACAAGGGTGGTAAGAACATTCAATGAGGAAAGAATTGTCTTTTCAACAAATGGTGCTGGGAAAATCAAATATCCACATGCACCAGGAAAAAGTTAGACCCTTACCTTATACCATGTAGAAATCAACTCAAAATGAATTGATACCTAAATGAAAGAGCTAAGAAAATGAAAATCTTAGAAGATAATAGTGGGGGGGGCAGCAGGTGGTGTGGTGGTTAAGGACGCTGGACTCCCACATGGCCAACCACAGTTCAAGTCCTGGACCTGGAGGCTTGCTCTCTCACTTTCCCTCTCTCTCTTTCTCTCTCACTCTGTCCTTCTCTGGTCAAAATTTTAAAAATGAAATAAATAAATGAATAAATAAAAAATAAAATAATTCTTAAAAAAAAAAGAAGATAACAGTGGGAAAGCTGCACAACATCGTATTTGGCAATGATTTATGACTGTGACATCAAAAGCATAAGCAAAACAAGAAAAACAAATTGCTTTGTTTGGTTACTTAAGAACATTGCTTTTAGAGCACGGTCCCCAAGATCAGTTTATTGCATCTGCACTTCACAGAAAATGGAAGACCAAGACCCTACACTTAGCATCTGCAACCTGTGGCTCTCTTAGTCTTCAGGTTGTACTTTCAGAAGATTCTGGAAACCCGAGCTCTGCTCAGAATGCTAGAAC